CAGGGTCACATAAACCAGGGCAGGGAAGCCTGCTCAGGAGTGAGAAACAACAAGCATTTATTAAATACCAGGAGTTAGATGAGGCACTGGGAATGCCAGCACACAAATGAAACCATCCCTGCCCTCCAGGAGCTTGTACTCCTTTGGGGGGAAGCAACATGTAGAAAGAGAAATAAATATTAAACACCCATGAAGTAACTAGAAGGTAGTATTGAGGGTGAGTAGAGAAAGGGTCCAACAACTGGGAGGATTAGGATGGGGTTCTTGTGGGAGATGGCTCTTGAGTAGTACCTTGAAGGAAGAAACAGAGAAACAGAGAAACAGAGGTGAGGAGAGAAGGCAGTATAGGTGTAAGTCACAGCCTGTACAAAGGCGGAGAAGTGGGAGATAGACCACCATTTACTGAAAACAACATGTAGGTCATTCCAGCTAGAACACAGGATGCATAAGGAGATCAATAGTAAGGTTAGAAAGAAAGGTTGGAAAGAGAATGTGGAGGGCTTTGAATATTAAACAGAAAATTTTATATTTTATCCTAGAATCAGTAGTGGGCAGCTAGGGGGCGCCATAGTGCATAGTGCCAGGGCTGAAGTCGGGGAGAATCATCTTTGTGAGTTCAAATCTGGTCTCAAACACTTACTAGCTGTGTGACCTTGGGCAAGTCAGTTAACTGTTTGCCTCAGTTTCCTCATCTGTAAAATGAGCTAGAGAAGGAAATGGCAAATCATTCTAGTATCCTTGCCAAGAAAACCCCAAATGGGGTCACAGAGAGTCGGATATGATTGAAAAGTGACTGAACAACAAAGAAAAAAGAAGCAAAGTTAGCCACGGATGGCAGCCTAGAGGCTAGAGATAGAAGGACCCTCAGAAGTGATCTCGTTCCCACCTTTGTTTATGGAGGAGGAAGTTGAGGCCGGGAAGGGAAGTGACTCACTCAGGGTCACACATCTATTAAGGGATAGATCTGGGTCTCAAACTCAGGCTTTCTCACATTTAAGTGCAGTGGTCTCTATCTTCTCTAGCCTTCTTTGTGCTCACCATAGCACTCTGAGTAACCTCTTCCCCTCTCTGAGCCTCAGTTTCCTCCTCTATAGAATGGAGGGATTGGACTAGATGACCTCAAAAATGCCTTCTAGCTCAATATTCTAATGTTCTAGGTTCTAAGGTTCTTTCCGGCTCTACGACCTATGAATTCTAGCAAAGCCTAGGCTTGTTGTCTAAAGTGATATATTGCTCTGATGATTTCTCCTAAGAAATCCATTCCGAAATATAATATATTTTCATCCTCAGAAAACATCTGAAACCTAAGAAGGTGACATTTTATCCTTGTCCTTTACATTAGAAACTTTGCGGCGTCTTGATGCAATGAGGAAAGCAGCGGGACATGATTTCAAATACCCAGCTCTGCTCCCTACTACCTATGTGACCCTGGACAAGTCACTTGCCATATCTGGGCCAAAGATTTCTCCGTTTGTAAAATGAGGGCATTAGATGAGATGACCTCAAGGGTCCCTTCCAGCTTTAGAGTCATGATCCAATGGCCTCTGGCTAAGAACAGTAAAAACCTAGACCTAGCCTCTATGCTCTCTCACTGTTGATCTGTGTTGATTCATCTTCCTAACTGGATAGGAAACTCTTCTTCAGCAGAGACCTTCCTTCTGTCTTTCTCATACTGTTCAGTGGTATGCACATGTTCAAGGACTGAGTAGACACTGTCAGTGTATTGACAGGTAGGGAAATGTGGCAAGATATCTTGCAGACTTCTTAGAAGTTCTTCAAAACCTGGTTCCAGGAGCAGCTAGATGGAGCATTTGATAGAGCACCGACCCTGGAGTCAGGAGGACCTGAGTTCAAACCTGGCCTCAGACACATAACACTCACTAGCATATGACTCTGGGCAAGTCATTTAACCCCAATTGCCTCACCAAAAAAAAAAAAAAAAACCAACCTGGTTCCAATATCCCTCTGTATCCTTATTACATGTTACTCTATGCCACACATTCGGCAGCCCCGTCAAACTAGCCAGGAGTTATGTGAGGTACTAGGAATTCAAAGATATAAATGAAGTCATCCTGCCCTCATGGAGCTTATATTATATTGGAGGAAAGTGACACATAGAAAGATAAATAAAGATTAAGCATACATGAAGTCAGTAGGCCAGCCAAACTGGTCTTCTTGCTGTTCTTCCCTCACAACATTCCATCTTCCTCCATGACTTTGCACAGACTGTCCTTTATAACCTAGAATGCCCCACCTGCTCCCTTCTGCCTCTTAGCTTGTCCTAATTGTCTTCAAAACTCAGCTCAAGTACCACCACCCTCTTAAGAACTTTCTTGAGCCTACAGCTTCTATCTTCTACCTTTACTGAAAAAAAAACCTGGCATTTATTTTGAAGAATATTGTATATGTACTTATGTACATACATTTTGTCTTCTTCAAAAGAATGTAAGCTCCTTAAGGGCAGGAACTGCATCTTTTTTTTTTCCTTTGTATCCCCAGTGCCAGGAATAAAGCAGGAACTCTCTCAATGCTTGTTGATTGATAAAATGGGGAACTGTCCATTTATAACATGCACAAGGAAAACTATTACCTAAGTAAATGCATTTCCTGGGGGGGAAGGGGAAGGGGGATAAGCATTTCTAGAATGCTTACTATGTACCAGGCACTGTGCTAAGCACTTTGCAAATATTATCTCATTTGATCCTCAAGACAACCCTGCGAGGGAAGTGTGCTTATGATCGCCATTTTAAAGTTAAAGAAACTGAGGCTGAAAGAGGATAAGGATCACACAGCTAGTAAGAAGTGTCTGAATCTGGAGTTGAGTTCAGGTGGTCCTGATTCCAGGCTCAGCAGCTATCCACTGCAGCGCCACCTAGCAGCCTCAGTGGATAGGACAGGGTAGCCACAAAAGAAAGCATCTCCTTTCTGCTATAGATCTATGCTGACATTTTTGTTTGGGAGCAAAGAATTTGGTCTTGTTGGATTCAGCTGAATGCCAGAAGAAATGATATTGGAGGAACTAGGGATGTTGAGTCTAAGAAAGGGAAAACTTTGAGGGGGCGTGAGAACTGGCTTGGTCAACAAGCAATTATCTTTGAGTACCCGGAAGAAGGAAGAAACTTGTTCTGCTTGGAGCCAGAGGGAAAACCCAAGAACAATGGAGGAGGGGAGGTTGGGGGGAGTGGGGAAGAAGTTGCAGGGAGAACGATGGAACAATTTAGGATCAATGTCAGGAAAAGCTTCCTGGCAATGAGAGCTGTTCCAAAGCAAATAGACTGCACCAAGAGGTAGGGAATGCATTGCTTCTCACTGGAGGTCTTCAAGCAACGTCTAGATGACCACTTCTTAGGCTTGTAGTAGAGAAGGTTCTTATTCTGGCTTGAGTTGGACTAGCTGGCTTTTGAGATCATTTCCAGTGCTGATAGTCTGGGATATCAGTGAGATCTCTGATATTGGAAGGGAAAGGAAGGAATACAGGAAGGGAAGGGAAGGGAAGCAGTCAGAATGTAATGTAATAAATCACTACCTAACCATGTTGAGACCCCATTATCATCATAATGGGGGCAGGGGGGTTGAAGAAAGTCAGCTTTCTATAAGGAATACTGATTTCAGTGAAGTAATAGAACACTGGATTGGGAATCATGGGGCCTCGGGTTTTGGTCCTGATTCTATCATTAAATAACTGTGTAATAGCTTTAAGCAAGTCACTTTCCTTCTGTAGGACTCAGTTTCCTCATCTCTAACATGGGAGATTTGGGGACAAGTGGTCTCTTCCTGTTCAAATAACAATAAATAGCCTATCTTCACAGATTGAGAGCCAGCATTGTGCCATGTGGAGAGACTTTGCAGTCAGCGGACCTCCGACTCCAGGCTTGTCTCCGACACATGCTGTGTGACTCTGGTCTAGTTGTTTAACATCTGGCCTTCATTTTCCTCCTCTGCAAAATGGGGGCAAGAATATTTGCATTCCTTTCTTATGGAGGCTTGCTGTGAGCAAAGCACATTGTCCTGTGAGCCTGATGTGAACCAGCTCCAACTGTTGATGTGGAATTAGAAGGGTCTCGATTCCCTGATGCTTGCTTGAAACCACTTCCCTTTCCTATGTCTCAGTTTCTTCATCTGTAAAATGGGATTTCAACTTGATTCAATTCAATCGGACAATCACTTATTAAGCATCTACTAAGGCGTTATTCCAAATGCTAACTGGATATACAAAGACCAAAAGGAAACAGTCTGCCTTCAAGAAGATTGTGTTCTTCTGGGCTAAATAATGTGTAGATAACAATAACTCCAACCTCTTAGGGTTTTCCTGGTAATAATAATAACAATAATAAGCATTTATATAGCATTTTAAGATTTGCAAAGCACTTTACAAATATTATCTCATTTGACCCTCACAACAAACCCTGTGAGGTAGGTGCTATTATTATCTCCATTTTACAGATGAATAAACTGAGGCAGACAGGTTAAATGACTTGCCCAGAGTCACACAGCATGTAAGTGTCTGGGGATAAATTTGAACTCAGGTCTCCCTGTCTACAGATTCAGCACTCTATCCTCTGTACCACTTAGCTGCCTCTAGAGCTCCAATGAGGTGATTTCTTAAGTACCCTAATAAATTTTCATAACATCATAAGATCATGGGCCTATAGGTGGAAGGGACGTCAGAGGCCATCTATCTGGTCCAACCCCCTCATTTGTAGTTGAGTAAACTGACGGCTGTGGTGGTGAAGTGACTTATCTACTTGCCCAAAGGCATCCATGTGATAAGTATCTGAGATAGGATTTGAACCCAGGTTGTCTGACCCTTGAGCTAGTGCATCCGCCATTATGGCTTGTGAGCCAAGCTTTCTAAGGGCAATAATTTTTTCCCATTCCTTCACCCCCTATAGCCAATTAGCTGTCAATTTCTGATTCCACCTCTATGATACTCCTCAAAATCATTCCCCTTTCTCCTGTTGCAAAACCACCACCCTACCCAGACCCTGACCATCACTCACCTGGAACAATAGCTTCCTCATAGATCTCACTGCTTCTAGTTTCTCCTGTGTCCAATACATCTTCCACATGGCTGTCAAAATATCTTCCTAAGGCACTGGTCTGACTGTGGATCTTCCGTGGCTCTCTATTTTCTTAAGAATAAAATACACATTCCTCAGCGTGGCCATTTGAGTCCTCCACCAACTGGCTCCAGCCTACCTTTCCAAACGCTGCAAATTACTCTCTTTAACACATTCTTCATATCTATCTATTTAACACATTCTTCCATTCTGTCCTTCTTACTGTTTCTGGAGCTCACCATTCTATGCCACCCTCCAAGCTTTTGCACCAGCTGTCCCACATGCCTGGAATGCCCTCATTGCTTACTGTTGCCTTTAGAACTTCTAAATTCCTTCAAAGCTCAGGTTCATGAGCCACCATCTCTAGAACACCTTTCATGGGCCCAGTGCCCTCTCCCTTCCCAAATGTTCTTGCCTTTACTTACCCATTTCCTTGTTTGTTTGCCCTGATATTGTGTAAGCTCCCTGAGGGCAGGGACAGTTTTCTTTTTCCTCATTTCTGTCTTTGTATGACCATGGAGTAGCACAGTGCCTGCCACATGGTAAATGCTTATCGAATTGAAAAGATGTCATCATCTGACACTCCAAAGCACTTTCAGGCAGAAAAAGGTTGAGGCAGCCCCTGGACTTTCAGGAACATGTCAAAATGAGCTCTGTTCATCCACAACCTTGGTCCCTGTGAACAGTAATGGTTTCAGGCTCATAAGGTAATAATCCATTTTTAGCAGATGAAAGAAGAGAGATCAGAACAGTAACTCGAGCTGAGAGTAATAATGGGTCTAGAAGCTTATAATGGGAAATATCTCAAGAATCCAAGCCTCCCTTTGTTGGGCATGAATGATGTCTTTTTTCTTGTGAAGAGTGTATGAAGAATCTGAGCTAAAGTACCTTGGTAGGTTTGATGAAAAAACTCTCTGTCTCCGGAAGAAGGGCCGGTGTTGGGTTGCAGCTCATATGCATCCTGACATTACGTAACAGCAGGGACAGCTGAAAGACATTCAGACAGCCCCAGGCCTGAGTTCTCAGGCATTGAGCTCTTTCCTTGGGGTTTTAACTACAGCATCTTAAATTTCTCCTGCCATTCTTCCAGGATGCATGCAAATCTAATTCTGTAGGCAGATACCCAGAATGTAAACTCCTATCAATAATTTCCTCATAATACTTAACACATTCACATACTCATAAATGCCACGGACTCCATCATCTTGGTCATGTGAACATTCTCTCTAATTATTCAAAATGGAATCTATCCCTGCCTCTCCATCCAGTGGATGGAGATGGAGTTGATGGCCCCATTGACTTTGGGCCACATCGCTGTAGAAGTCCCTTCTTTTAAGTCAACTCAGCATCCGCCCCAGTTTCTCTTGATATCACAAGAATGTCATTGGAGTACCAAGCTTGTTCATCAGTCAGCCCTGGTTCTTACCACATGACCAGTCCACCATCTCTTTTGCTCATTACTGTCCTTCTACTCTCTCATTTGTAATGTACACAGTCTGCTCACACCCTTCATGAGTTTCTTCCATTGCCCTTCTGGTAAGTTTCAGAATGGAACTTCAATTCTGAAGAGACTATATCGTCCATGACTTGCAGCCGTACACCATTACCAGAAGAATATTTGTATGAAAATGATGGGCCATTGTTTCAAGGGGAATCTTTGAAGCATTAAAAGAAAGCTTCAGTTTCCTAAAGGCAACTCTCTTCTATCTGTTCAGTTATGTGCTCAAGTTATTGTCCATTTCAAGTGTCTGTATGCATATAAATTTATATGCATATTATATGTGTAGACATATGTTAGATATAGATAGATAGATAGATAGATAGATAGATAGATAGATAATATAGAGAGGTTATGTAGACATATATCAGTGGATGTGCTCTATCAGTTGTCCACTCAACTGCATATTTGATGTATCATCCATTTCATTTTTCCTGTGTGAATAGTAAAGTCAAACTATTTCAGGCCATGATGGACCTCATTTAGGAAGTTCTGAAATGTTACAGGGCTTGATTAAATCAGCACAGTATCATTCACAATTGTTTTATCTGGAAGGCTTTGCCATCCATAGCCCCCCGCCACTTGGACTTTGCCCTGGATCTCCCCCATAACACTAACGAGCATATTTGGCAAGCAAATATTTCCCTGTTTAAAATCTTGTTTGCTATTAATGTTGAGATGATTGTTCAACAAGGTTACCTCTGTTACCTCTGAGATACCTCAAGGAATCTTGCAAAATTTTGATATATATGTGGGACATACCTTGTAGCAGCAGATCTTTTAAGAAGACATTTTGCTGTGCTGAATCAAATGCTTCCTTAAAGTCAACAAATTAAAAAGACAGTGGCATGTCATGATCTATACCTTGTTCATTCAGCTGTCTCCTAGTAAAGATACAGAGTGTTGCAGAATATCAATTAGAAAAGCCTTCTTGTTCCTTCCTAATATGTTACTCAAGATAGATATTTGTGTGCATTATCTTCATATTAAAAAATTTTATATGGGTTGATAGTTACTAATGTTCTCTTGTTTTCTTCTTTGTGGTCATAATAATGATGATGATGATAATAATAGCTAACATTTATGTAACCCTTACTATGTGCCAGGCAATGCGCTAAGCACTTCACAATTATTATCTCATTTGACCCTCACAACAACACTGGGAGGTTGGTCACGTTATTATCCTCATTTTGCAGATGAGAAAACTGAGGCAAGCAGAAGTTAAGTGACTTCCCAATAGCTATTAAGTATCCGAGGCTGCATTTGAACTTAGGTCTTCCTAACTCCAAGCCCAGTGCTCTATGCATTGTATCAGCTAAAAAAGGTCCAAAATTTTATTTTCATGCCTTTTTCATCCTTTATTCCTTCAGATAACTTGAAAATAGATATCCCAGTGCCTTTGAAATTATATCACCTTGAGAACTCTCTCTCTCTCTCTGTACATATACAGATATATTCATATGTGTATGTATATACATATATATAGTATGTAGATTGATAATTAATTTATGAAATGGGGGAAGGTATGCCTAGTTCTTTGAGTACTCTCCAGAAAGGACCCAAGGGCAGTGGAAAGTGGGGCTACAGTCACACTTTAATAAGATACAGAGAGTGCAAAAATAACAAATGTACAGAGGCTGACAGCATGGGGATAGGGTATGAGATGGTGAAGGGAGGCAAGTAGCCTGGGAAAAAGGATTGAGACAGGGAGAAGCAGAGAGAGTCACTCATGTAACCATGGATTCGAAACAGGAGCACTAAGCAGCATGGACCTGATGGAAATAGAAGAGAGCCGTGGACCATGAAGGCAGGCAGGAGTTGGGGTCTCATTTTTATAGGGTTTTGGTGAGAACAGACTAACTCTTATCTGCCACCTTGGAGTTAGTTCATTAACATATTCAAATCATCTCAAAGTTAACATATGCACATAATCTGTTATCAGTACCTTTTGATGTTCTGCTGATCTGGAATTTGTGGGGGCTTTCTATATCACAGGACCAGAAAGCCCTGACAGAAGCATTTAGGTAGCTTCTGTGATTCTGCAAAGATTATCAGGATGTGAATTTTGGTTAATATAGGATACAAATATTATGCTCCTTTGAGCTTTGGAATAGTTTAAAAAAGACTTTCAAATTCTCCTCTGCAATCTTATTTCCTGCTATTGCCCCTTTATACCAGCTACTTATAAACTTACTTACTATACTAACTAGTAGGAGAGGAGATCATCAGGGACACAATTTTAACTATTGATCTGCTTATCTATCTCTTTACACATATATATGCATGTACATATATGCATATGTGTCTCTATACATGTAAATACATATATGTGTCTATATATATTTATATGCATATATGTGTATGTGTGAATATTTAGTCTTGGTCTAACCCAGCTATTTATCCTAGCTTTGTTTTCTTCAGCACCATTTCTCCTTCCTCTATTAGCACATCTAAAACTGTGATGTTAGGATAGAAAGGTGGTATGGCTCCACTGTCCCTAATAGCAAAAATATTTTATTATACAAAAAACCTTTTCAGATCTTTTCCATTTTTTATCCGTTTGCTGTCCTTCTTCCAGTTTCATCTATAAATACCCTTGAGATTTCTTGGCTTGGTTGAGTTTATTGTCAGACTTTCTTAACTCTGTCTTCCAGTACTGAACTGTATCTGTCATCTCACTGATTTCAGTGTACCCTCCAATGATGCACACCACAAACCATCTTTTTTTAGGCAATCGGTGGTTCAGTGACTTGCCCAGGGTCACACAGCTGGTAAGTGTCTGAGGCTGGATTTGGACTTGGGTCCTCCTGACTCCAGGGCCAGTGCTCTATCCACTATACTACAAACCATCTTGTGTGACTCTTGTCTATGTCCTTTAACAAGTTCCCCATAGGGCAATGTCTTGTGGACCTAGAAGCCTGCCTTCATCATTAATTCTAGCATTTACAGCACTTTAAGGTTTGCAAAGCCCTTTACAAATGTTATCACATTTTATCTTGGCTTCCCAGCTTCCACCAAGTCTCAGCTAAAATCCCACATTCCACAAGACGTCCTTCCCAACCCCTCTTATTGCTAGTGCCTTCCCTCTGGTGATCATCCCCAATGTATACTGTCTATAGCTTGTTTGTATATCATTATTTGTGTGTTGTCTTCCTTATTAGACTGTGAGCTCCCTGAGGGCAGGGACTATCTTTCACTTTTCTGTGTACCTTGCTGCAGCAGAGATCTTAAGAAGGCATTCTGCTGTACCAAGTGTGCCCTTAGCACAACTCAGACACTTCATAAATGCTAGTTGACTGACAAACTATCCTCAAAACAACCTTGGGAGGAAGGTGCTGCTATTATCCCCATTTTACAGATGAGAAAACTGAGGCAGACATAAGTTAAGTGACTTGCCCATGGTCATGTAACTAGTAAGTATCTAAGGCCAGATTTGAACTCGAGTCTTCCTGGCTCCAAGTCCAGTGTGCCATCACCTAGCTGCCTCACAAGTATACCAGTGGCACACTCTAGCCTCTTATCCCTCACCACTATCTCATCTTCTCTTTCCACCATACATTTCTCTGATGACATCTTTTACTTCATCCTTCCTTGGTCCTCATTGATTGAAATGTTTTAGCCTACTTACAGAGACTCTGTGGCTCCCCATCGCCCTCTGTGCGATGATCATGTTTAATCCTTCAGAGACTGTTGTATTCCCTGATTTGTGGCCATACAACAACACTGGGAATGTGTGTTTGTGTTAAAGTATCAGCCTCAAAAGAGTTTGGCCTGACCATCCACATAGCAAGACCCAGTAAAGGAAGACTATCTCAGCCCAGGTTAGGACCCGGATCTGCATAGCCAACCGAGACGCCTCTGCATATCTGGGACAGACAGTGCATACAGGCAGCAAGCTGAATCCAGAGTTGAACAGGAAGAAGTATAGCTCCTTTAATAACTCCAAGAGTCCCCCAGAAACAAAGATCTTTCTTTTGTAAATCTTTCTTTAACCTGTTTTGTCATTGTTGTTCTAAGACTTCTTGAGTCCTTATTAACCATTACTTCTTATCAGCTTCCCCATAAGAGGTCAAGTGACAAGTGACATGGACTGGACCAGTAACTTCACTGGCAGGGAACCCCCAAGTGAGGAGACTCCCTCTACTACTGTAGATGGGCACCTTCTCAGCAACTT